CTTATATACGTATAAATATTGGATCTACAAAATCTAAAATTTGAAATCAGTCAACAAACTAACAATCAGACAACATATGAACGAACCTGTACAAAAATCCTAATAACATGTTGAAAAATAATTTCTCAAACTTGAAAGGCATGCTATAATCAAATGGAATGGAGAAATTAGAAGAAGTTATACCCCTTTGGAAGGTTTAGTGTGCCTCAATTTGGAATGCTGTAATGTAACGAAAAACCAGCTGGAGATGAGAAATGCATAGAGAACCAATAAGATAACCATACTTGAGAATTTGGAGTGTTATCATTATTACAAGTATTATATTTGAAACTTTATGTTTAATTAAGAACGCATCCTTTTATTTGTTTGAAAATAGTTCACAATTGATTAATCAAAGAAATTAAATGATTTAGTCTAATGAAGAGATTTAAGTCTATTCACAATGAACTAGGAAAGAAGTTTTGGCAACATTCAATTAAGACACAAATTGAAAAGTCTTAGTGACCAAATTGAAAAATTAATACACAAATTGAAAATATAATGGTAATTATAAGACTAAAAAATTGTAACTATTAATATGTATTAATTAAATCATACACAAATTAAAAAATTATAAATAATATCCTTAGTGACCTGATGCTGCTGCACTGAGTCGCGGACCAAGGAGGGACGCTCGGAAGTTGCTACTCTAGGAAGGAGAGATGCTATGAACCTGCGACTTCAGAGAGTGGGAGTAAAGTCGAAACTGGGAAGCTCAACCGATGGTTGATTGGAAGAGAGGATAGGGGAAGAAGACGGAAGAGGGGAAGGGAATACGATAGATTAAGGTAATGGATAAACTGACTTAAGGCAACGGATCAAATCATTAAATTACAAACGGGCTTAGGCCCAGTTTCATTAATCCATTCAATTATTAAGGCTCAACAGCGAAAGAAAGTTGCACAGATCTGTATGGCGATAATTGCACTCGCCAAACGCCATAAGACGCAGCGAGAATGGCAAACGCCTTTCATCGCCTCAAGGACATCGCTATGCACAGCCTAATCCAGGCGTTACAAGGCGGGTATGGCGCTCGCCATTCATAACTATGTGCCACACATGATTTATATTTCTTAAAGCGTGTTGGTGGGCTCTTGTAGTTTAATTAACAAAAAATAAAATTTCATATTGTCTCTCTAGATTTAAAACAATGTAATCTTTAATTTTTGGAAAAGGATCAAGTTCTATCTCAAATGAAATTTGTCCTTCAGAATTGTTTGAAAAAAAACTTCTCTTTAGTTTGACCTTAAAAACAGAATTTGAAGTCAATGACCTCGCAGTCTTTAATCCTCATATTTATAGTGTTAAGCTCAATAGCCACAAAATATTTAATCATTGCATTTTCTAAAAGTGCAGCTTTATCAAAAGCAAATAAAGTGAAACTGTGTCCCTTTTTATCATTAGGAAAAGGGTTTAAATCTGCATCAAATCATGTTGCTTCTTTAATTCTTGTTGAAATAATTTTGAGTTCAATAGAGGGAACAAAATTTTGTGTTACAGCAGATTCTTCAAAGATGCCAAACTTAGTCCTTTTGAAATAAAAATCATTTGAAAATGTCTTAACAATAAACAGGTGTTCATGGTCAGTTTGCAGCCTTGATTTCCTCCAAACCAAAGATTTATTAGTGGACTCATCATTTAGAAACATAAAAATACCATTCATACAATCCTTAAGACCAAACATTTCCTTTCCAAAAATGAAGCTCTTTACAC